AATAAAAAAAAAAAAAAAAAAGGAAGTGGAAGGAGTCCCATACAGGAAGAGAAGGGAGTACAAAACGGAAAACAGTAGAGATCAGAGCAAGAAATGGAGATTTGGGGGGGGGGGGAATTGAAGAAGGCGGACCGGACACCAGAGGAAAGGAGAGGCTGCGCATGTGCCCAGAGGCCTCCTTTCTGATGAGGAAACAGAATTGACTCTGCTAGTTGGTATAAACCGAAATTTAAAATGAACTCAGAACCACATAGAAGGGCTGGGAGATGGAGCTGGGTCTGATTGTTTTATATATGGGTAAGTTAGGGCATTGCTGCAGAACTCACACCGATACTGGGGTGGGTACCCCTCAACACACCATCACGTGTACCCACTCACCCCGCTGCCTCTCTCGCGCCTTGGGCTTCCCAAATCGCCTCCGGCCAGTACTTCCCTTCTGCTTCTGCCTCTTCCTTTCACTGGCACTGCCCTCGTCAGATGCCCCACTGAAGGAGGAGGCTGCCGACTCAGGGTCTGAGGCTTCTCCCCCAACCCCAGCCCGGCTGTCCCCATCAACCCTCCGTGGCCCAGGCTTCATCCGGCAGTGGTCCTCTAAGGAGAGACAAAAATGAACTGTGACATAATGTCCTATCATTGCCCTGAAGGGGGAAAAATGAACACGGAGGCCAGATCCTCAGGATGAGGACAGGGTGAAGCCCCCAAGCATGAAGGTATCGATCTAGCTGGGATTCGGAGAACTCAGCGGAGCATCTGTGACTGGTCTGGGTTTCTGTAGGGGAAATGTATCGTGGGGGCCTTCAGAGAGTAGTCAAAATCAAGAAGCAGGCAAGGCCTCTGAGTAAGAGGCTTGGATATCAAAGTTCAGTTTGGGTATTGTGGAAGCTAACTATCTTCACCTGAACAGGGAGCCAGCTGAGGCTTAGACTCAGCATCTTCCAAAAGGACTGAAGTCAGGACTCTGCCCTGCCAGATCAAGGAAAGAGTAGAGTCATCCAGGATAGCGCTTCCAGTGTAGGAAGAGGGGACAAGGAACATACATGGTGCCCATCCCAATGCCGGGTCCCCAGTAGATGAAACCCTCAGAATACCCTTAGGCCCTTTGCTGGGACTTTTGACATTATTACCAGCTAGAAAGCCTTCCAGCAGCTCAGCTGGATACAGAGGTTGGGATTATGGCCTGGACTGAGAAATGTGGCTGGAATAGCAGACAACACATATTAATAAGCAGACAGGATCCTGCCTACCAGAGGAGGTGACACCACCATGCTGTTAGTCACCATCAGAGCAAGGCAAAACGGTAGAATCTGCCCATGACCTTGTGGCAGAGTTTAGGGGACAAGAAGTTCTGAGATTCCACAGTCTTTGAGGAATAAAAAACATTAGTTAGCCAAGCTGTGTAGAACAGGGTGGTGGGAAAACAAGCCCCTAGTTGCTATTCTGGGACACCTCTGGTGAATGGATAAATGCACCTTCCACAAGTCCTGGGGTGCAGACAGGGCCCCTCTGAGGAATCCAGCAGACTGACAAGGAAATGAGGGCCATTCCCCTAAGATGAGACCCCAGGCTGGAAATCCAGACTCGGGGAGACACTTATTCCAAGTGCTTGAGGCTGCAGGCTTATGGGACAGTCTATGACAGGGTAGGAAATGAGAATCTGACAAAACAAGGAATGGCTGGGGAGGTCCCTAAAGTCAGCACGGTTCTTAGTGGAAGAATAAAGGGCAAGTCCCCTCAGGTGAACCCAACAGTGGGTTTTGGACTCTGCGGGTCCTGGGGGAACTGTGTGTCCCCACCCCCACCTGCATCCATCCGGGCCGAGGAAATGAACTTGTCCAGCTGACACCGCAAAAAGTCCCTCTCCTCCTCCAGGTCCTCAATGCGCTTCTGCAGCCATGAGTTCCTTTCCAGGGCCATGTGCAGCTGGGCCTTAACGCTGTTCATCAGGGTCAGGGTTGGGGAGGTGGCCTCTGGAGGCTCTAGGAACAGCAGGGGGTGGGGGGTCATGCCCCAGGATGAGGTAGTACCCCCCCTGACTCCAGTCCCTCCACGCCCTTCTCGGCTCACCCTCAAAATTTCTCCGAGAGGGACTCAGACTGTAGAAAATCTGTGAGTCTAAGTGGGGTGCCTCTTCGAAGGGGATGGAGATCTCAAAGGTCTCTTCGTCCTTCACTGGAGAGAGGCCAGTGCAGGTCACCCCAGAAGCGGCCTGGCCCTTTCAGACCACCCCCAACCATAACTGCCCCGTGGATAGAGGGAACCAGAGTGTCGGGCTAAGGATGGGGAAAGGGTCCCCAAGTGCCTCACTTGTCCGCCTACGGTTGCTTCGGTCATTCATAGCGAGGCTTCCTTCAGACCCAGCAGCTGAGCCCTCAGGGGCACTGGACAGAAACAGGTCACCAAATGTAGTCAGTTAGTTCCCGGAGCGGTGGAGTACCTGTTCCTCTGGAGTAAGGAGGGATCACCGGTCTGGAGCCGGTGGGGGGTGGTCTGAGGGAGGAAAGAGCCCATACTCCTGGACAGAGACACTGAGGTTTCCAAATCGTGTACCCAGAGCAAGGGGGCACGGCGAGAAAACTCTTGGTCGTGAAGGAGCTCGGCCCTTAGATTCTTTGGTTCTTCACAGGTTCAACACCACAGGGATACTTTGGCCTGAATACGAAGGACCCTCATCATGGGCCATCACCAGACCCAAAACCATAAATGGAAGGGAGAAACCACCCCTAACTTCCACGCATGAGGTGGGGGGGAGTCCATCCTGCGAGCATTCCCCTGTCCCAGCCGCCCATTCCTCCCGCACTTGTGCAAGTTAGCCAAACCCCTCCCCCGAGGTGGGGGCTGGGCGCGTGCGTAGCGGGGGGTGTCACGCGTGGGGATGCGCCCCCACCCTTTGTCCCACGAGTGGGAGGGGGCGACCATGTCAAAGGGTCCCAGAAAGGGCAACCGACATGGGAGTGGCCACAGTGGACACCATCCCCCGCCCTTGGGTGCCAGGATACAAGGGGCCAGGGCCCGGCTCTCACCCACCCGCGTAAGGACTCCAGCCCTGGGACCGACGGTGGTGGCGGCGCCCATGCCCAGCGTTGGGGAGCGTCTGCAAAGTGTCGCGGAGAGAAGCGCCCACCCACCAGTAAACGAGCACAGCGGCAGAAGAGGGGGAATCTCGGAACTGGATGGCGGAGCGCGCAGAGACGCAATCATTTGCGGGATCCGGCCTGCCAGGCCAGGCGCGCCTCTTCTTGGAATCCAGGTGAGACCCGCTGTTTGCGTGGAGTTCGGGGCCGCACTTGCGCGATAGCCCCTTGCAACCCACTCCCACCCACCCCCGCCCTTCCTAAAGCCCAGACAGGGATCCTCATGAAATTCTCATCCTGCACAGCTGACGCGGCTCCGGGGGTCCTCCGGGTGAGTGGTTATGTGCCCAATGGGCCAAGAAAAGTCTGAAGGTATGAGGCAGCTAGGAAAATTGAAGCGAAACTTGAGTCCCCTTTTAAGGAACCCTGAAGAACTGGCTAGTGCATGCACACCTTTGGTCTTGAACGCCTCAGGCAGCCATAATCCCTAACTCCGTCCACGAAGAAAGGGTTTAGAGAAATAAGAGAACCAGATGTGAGAATGGGTTGTGTGGTGGCTACATCTCCGCAAAGTGTGGGTCAGGAATAGCCCGCACAGTAGCTGCCTGTGGAACAGCTACACTCCAATCCCTACCGCCTCATTCCTCCAGAGCCTCAGTTTACTCACCTGTTAAGTGGGAAGATCCTCTCTAGGGTCTTTGCGAGGATGCAGTGGTGTGACACACCAAAGGCTCAGCCCAGAACGGGACCTCACTCTTGGGGCTTAAGATCCAAGCTATTTGAAGTCAGACGGTGGAATAGAAGCACAGCCTTAAGACACTCCCACTCGCCCCTCCGCCACAAACCGCCCCAAAAGAAGTCGTGTAAAGAGGCTAACTACATCTGGCACAAAACAGGCGTGAAAGGGGACGGAGAAGACATGTTTATTAGGCCTGCAGCAAGGTTCCTCCTGCCTCTCCTTTTCACAAGCAACATCCTCTCTGGGGTTCTGAAGCCCTAATGGAGCCTTGGCTTTAACTAACCTCGCAGAGGGAGACTAAGCCGCTCCCTCTTGTGCTTCACTTTACCAACCAGCTGCAGCCTGGGTCAGCAAGTCCAGTGGGAGCCACCTGCCCCAGATCAGTGTTTCAAACCGCAGGAAATCGTATCTAGGAAGGTGAACTCTAGATTTAAAATGTATATCAAGGTGTCCTGTGCACGCTAAAGGCAACTACCGTTAGAATGGTTTCACATACGTTTGGTGTGCTTCTGTTCTAGGCTGCCCTTTTTTTAAGTCTCTTAATGTGGATTGTAATTTAAGGGGGGAGGGGTAACACTTAGACTCATATTTCCAAAGGTGCTGGGAATGTGTCTCAGTCTGTAGAGTACCTAGCATGCAAAAAACCCTGAGTTCCAGAACTCAGGAAGTAGAAGCAAGATCATAAGTCTAATGGTACCCAGAGCTACATTACAACCTTGTCCCAATAAATAAATAGATGGCAGGTTTGCAGGAACTGAAGTGGGCCTAACTCTGGAGGAGGGGGGCAGATTTTCCTAACCCCCAGCCAAGGTTGTGCTACCAGGTGGTGAGTGTAACTAAGACATTTCAAAAATTGAAGTGCTAATTGAGAGTGGGGTGTTTATTTGGTGTCCAGTCTAGGGCCAGTGTCAAAATAAAGGAGACTTCTGACTGCCCACCAGAACCTCTGAGGCAAGTTTCCCAAGCAACACTGTCCTTTATTCCTCCTATTGGGACTCCCAGTGTTCAAGGTGCAGGGCTGTTCTGAGGACTCATTCCCATCATAAGTCCAAAGTACTGTGATGTACTGACGACTCAGAGACTCTTCTAGGCAAGGCTCTCTTCAAAAAGGTTTGTCTGGGCTTGTGTCTAGGGCCCTGAAAGCCAGTCTGCAACTCAGGTCCATGTCTAAGAGATTCGGGAGCCCCTCGACCCCTGGGATCCCAGGAGCGATTCATGGATGCTTCCACTGAGTGTTCTTCTGTAATGTGTTCTGCTCTGTAAAGTGATGCAGGCAATGCGGGCACTGGAACGGGTGGTCCCCAAGTGTCCACTGATGTGCTGGGTCAACTCGTCCTCGGCCCAGAAGCAGCAAGGGCAGAGCAAGCAGCTGTAGGGCTAAACACCACCCGCCCCATGTATGGAGTGGTCTGCTCAAGAGGGCTGGCCGGCTTGAATGCCTTCCCCCAGGTGCCGCATTTGAAGGGCTTCACCTCCAAGTGGGTAATGCTGTGTCGCTGAAGGTAAGATGTACTCAGAGTCTCTAAGCACTTTTTCTGAACCCAAGTCCCATTGACTCCAGCATCCCTCTGTAACTCCTCATCCACCGGCACTGTGTAGGGGACACACTGGGTGTCCATGAGAAGATAATGGTTGAGCCTTGGAGGGGACGAAGTCTGGGGAGATCCTGTGGAGAAAGAAGGCCCAGGTTCTGGAGACCCACCTGTTCGAGAGAGGGGGCCTTCCATGGCCTCTACAGAGGGAAGTGCTGAGGTCTGGAGGCAGCAAGGTAGCAGCACCAGCATCCATAGATGCAAATGAGGCCTGATGGATGCTAGAGAGTATGAGATCGAAGGGGGGGGGGGAGACAAGGACTCTGTTCTTGCTATGTACTCCACCCAAGGTCCTCTGCGATGTCCCTCTAAGGCCCCTGTAATCTTTCTTCTGTCTGTCTTCTGGGCCCTACTACCCACTATATTCATGCAGTTGCAGTTGCTTTCACTCTGTCCCTTCCCCCGTGTGCCCTCAGGTCACCTACCAGGGCATCTTGTGGCCCTCCAGGACTCTCCCACATTTTGACCACCACCCGGTCTAAAAGTGGGTCTGTCTAGGTTCTCCCATTACACGTCCCACCCGTAGTTCTTTCTAGGTCTGCAGCCCCCACCTTTGGAGATTTCCCAGGCAAGTATTCGAAAAGCTGCCCATTGGGATGTCGCCCGAACGGACCCGCCTCCGCGGTTGCTTGAGTCTCGATTCCTCCTTTCCTGCCTGGTGCCCAGTGCATCAGCCTCCTGGGTCCGGGCAGCACAGGACCGGGGACCCTTGGCTACAGCCAGCACCTGGCAGTACCGGGTTTGGAAAATATAGACCCAGGGAGAGACGAGGGTCTAAGAGAGGGCGGGTCGCCTGAGCATCATAAAACAGCTCCGGTTGGCAACTCACTTCGAGCACAAGGTTCCTAGGTGCTAACGGTCCGGATTCTCTCTTCTCCCAACACAACCCACATGCAAGTAAGAGCCTTGAGAATTAAGTGCGGAATGTTTATTGGGCAAAGAATGAGGGGTTGTGGGCAATATGGGGAAGTACAGAGATGATCCAGGCAGTGCCGGTGCTTTTGTCATGTCTTCCACAAGGACCTCATCACTTGGGAAGAGTAGAAAACCAAGACTCAGGAGAGGTCGCGTCAGTTGTAAAGGCTTACACAGCACAGCCAGACTGAAGCCCAGTTCCAACTGACACCAGGCCCAGAGGGGCAACAACTTTGGTCTACATCACACAGCTAGACGGGAGAAAAGACAAAAATGTTTCTCTTTGGGGAATAGGTGGGGAAACTGAGGCCTAGGGTAAGGCAGTGACGCTGTGTGGGTCAGACGTGGTGGCCCAGAGATAGCAGGACCAAGCTCAGTGCAGGCGCACGTGCTGTGCCAGCTCCGCGGCGTCCTGGAAGCGGCGTGGACAGAGCGGGCAGCTGTGCGGTGGGCCAGCGCGCGCGCGATGAGTGGCGCGGTGCCGCGACAGGTGGCTGGAGCGCTTAAAGGCTTTGCCACAAGCACCACACGTAAAGGGCTTGAGGTCCGAGTGCGACACACGGTGGCTCTGCAGCCGTAGAGGGCTGGCAAAGACACGAGCGCACTCTGGGCAGCTGTAGCCCTTGCGAGGACTTGGCTCTCCCGGGGTCGCCTCGCGCTGTGGCGGGCCCCGAGGTTCCTCCTCCAGCTGCACGGTGTACGTGTAGGGGACCCCGTTGGCGTCGATGAGTAGGTGGCGGCCCAGCCGCGGTGGCCGCGGCCCCGCCACCGAGGAAGAAGTGGAGGAGGGGCCTTCCGCCTTGGGAAATGGGGGAGTTTTGGGGGGCGGTGGGTCCATGACCTCCGGGGAGGAGGACCGAGGGTGAGGTGGCCGCGGCGGCAGCAGCAGCATCTGGAGCGGCAGCTGGGAGCGGCGGAGGGAAGAGAAGTTAAGATCTGTCTCTTCCTTTCAGGAAAAAAATTCCTAAAAAGGTGTTTCCATTCTCTGCCAGACTCTGTGCTACTGACCTACCTTCCTACAAAGTGAAAACTGACTCCAGTTCCCAACTCTGGGTTTTCTCCACCAGGGCTTGGCAACACCCAGCTCCACCAGCCTCAGGTCAGGACCTCGGACATCCTTCGGATTCCCTCCGTCCATCGCCACCCGCCACAATCCATCTCCAAGTCCATTTCTCTCCTTTTAGCTTAGGACCTCTCTAGCCTTCCATTCCAGGCCCTGGTGGCCTCCGGGATTTTTCTCCAATCTACCTTTCCCTCCTTCCCAGAGCTCTACTCAAGCTCTGCCTTAATCCTCTCCCTCAGGTCCCACAACACCCTGGGGGTGGGAGATCTCCACCCAACTAGATCCTCCTCAGGACCTCCCCACAGTTGTTGTGGCCTGGGGTTTCCTCCCTAGATTCTTGCCCAGAGTCCCACTAACCCAGTTCCCCACTTTCCACTCATGGATCTTTTATGTCATGCCCGCACTCTGCACTAAAAGGTCTCGCCATTCTCTTCCTACATCGTCTCTACTGTATCTTCAACTGCCTGCCTCTTCTATGCGCCCCATCGTGTTGCATTTCATTCACAACCATCCCCAGCCCCCTCCCCTCCTCCGGAAAGTATCCTGACATCTTCATTTCTCTGTCCACCGCCGCCACCACCGTGGAGCCTCCTCCCGCTTGCAGTCAGATACTGGACCTCCTGGTTTCCCGTTCCCACACCAGCTCTCCCTAACCTTGGTCCCTCCTCTCTAGATGCAGCTGGCATCTCTTGTCTCTCTTCACCTCCCGGCTTCATATGATGCATGCCCCCTTGCCGTGGGCGCTCTTGCACCGTGGTCCTCAGAACCACCCGGTCCTGTTATATCCCCAGGGCTTCCTACTCCACTGGCTTCCATAAGGAGCCCTGTCTTCCAGACGGCCCTCTCTCGGGCTCTGAGCGTAGCTTTCCTAGCTTCACGGACCCGACCCACACCCAGAGCCCTGCCGGCCTCGCGCCCTGCCCAAGCCAGGCTCCTCCCTCCATCCCGGCCCCCGTACCCGGTGCAGCAGCCTCTCGGGTCCGGGGGAGAACGGGGCCGAGGTCCCGAACGGACCCGGGCTTGCCCTGACGAGTGCCGCTGCAGGAGCGAGCTTCCGGGTAGCTCCGGGCCGGCGGCGCCGGGGACGCGGGTCGGGGGGCGCAGGGGCGCGAGGGGCGACGGCGTCCCTGGGAAAGAGCGCCGTTCAGAAACGCACGTTCCACACACGAAGGTTCCGACGCCGGAGTCGGCCGGCCCCTCTAGTGGGAGCGCGCGGTGGGGGTCGGGGGGGGGGGTGTTGGCGCGTGGCCAACGAGAGGGACCTGCAAAAGAACAGTTCCCCGTTGCGTGCCCCCATCCTCAGAGCCGTTCCTTTGCTTTGAATGGCCAGTAAACTGAAGTTAGGCACCGTGAAGTCTCCTAAACCACCCATAAAGAACTGGAATGTACAGTGTGTCATCTTTCCACCCTGCCTCTCCCCTTTCTGTTCAGGCAAAGAAAGCCATTCAAGGCGAAGGGTTAGAGAAGGGGTCTTTCTGCTGGTTGAACATTTGGAGAGACTGGGGGTCTAGAGGCCAGGTGCTTGCTCTGGTGTGGTAGGGTGCAATCTTGACATCTCGTAAAGGGGGAAACCAATGCCCAAAGAAGACATTGCTGCAAGAGTAGGTGAGGTATTCGTGCTCCACTGAACATATGGGAAAACAGAGGCTGGAGAAGACCCGATGTAGGGTTAAAAGGTATTACGCTTACAGTGACTTTGTGGTATTCCTTGGCTCCCAACTGCCGGGATACCGTTCCATACGAGCTGCAACGCTTACACCAGATACTGACACAAAAAGGAAAATGTGATATTTCTTGCTGAGCGTTTGAAGAAACTGAAACCCGGAGCTTGCTGGGTATGGAAAGTGGAAACAGGACTGGAGGTATAGCTCATTGGGTAGAGTGCTTACCTAGCGTGCACTCAGGGTTCGATCCTCAGCACAGCCTAAAATTGGGTGTAGTAAGCCACTCAAGACTTTAATCCCAGCTCTTTGGAAGTGGAAAGTTCAAGGTCATTCTCAGCAATTTAGCGAGTTGGAGGCTAGCCTGGGCTACATGAAACCCTGTCTCAAAACCAAGAGGGGTGGTGTGGAGAGAGACTGTGATTCTTGTCAGTGATCAGGTGGGGTAAATAAAGCCCAGAGGATGCCAAACTGTAAATCGAATTCT